ATATTAGAATCTCTTAGAAGAGTATCTGACACTCAGATATCTGAGAATCTCGGATCCGGATAAGAACAGCCAACTATATGTGGTGAGGAACTGACGGTAACCATGCTAATGTTTGTTTTAGGTTTAATCACTTTCTTGAGCAATACGCTACTTATTATATTCTTAAAAAATTAAACTGTTTTCTTAATTTTGGTTTTTTATATTTTTCAGAAATGGTACACCAATCAAGTCACTTAACCAAAGAATGAAAAGTCACTTTCAAGATTCAGGAACCTTAATTAGAAATCGAATCACTATGATTCTACTTCAGCAGCAACTCATCCCACACCACCAATGATACCAAACTCTTCACTCATTTTCCCGCGTTTCATGCATGTAATACAATTTATTACTCTCTCCGTTTCAATTTAGTTGTCATTGTAGAGTAAAATTTTTATTTTAAAATAAGTGCCGTTTCAATGCCAAATTATTAATTTTACATGCTAATCATTTTTTGATTGGTTGAAATGTGGTTAGATTTATAGGTAATGATTGTTTACAAATACAAAATTGAATATTTTCTTAAGCTGTGTGCACAAAGCTAAAACGATAACTAAAACGAAATTGAGGGAGTAATTATTATATGTTTTTATTAATTTTGTTGGATAAGTTTTAGCTTCATTCTCATCCTCCTTTGTTTTCAGTATGAACAGAAAGACGGGTTTAATCATAAAGTCATGCCACAGAGGAGCAGTGCTAGTATTTATTCAAACATAAAACCGTTCTACAATTTCATGCCCGCGAGTGAGGAGAGTACTGACAACCAAGATCTCTCTATTAGCTTGAGAGACGAGAGATGTGACACGGTCATTAATCACGGCCTTGATCTTTGCCTTAAGTTATAAGCAATTGATCTTCTTAGGCGATATGCTGATGGTCTAGTGGTTTGAACGAGATTTTCACACACTACTGCCAGAGGTCACGAGTTCTACTCTCTGTCAGTGGGGTGGTACTGAAACCTCTCCAAAAACAATCATGTCGCAGATGGCTCACATGTTTCTACGACGCTAATGGGGTTTTCTTGGATGCGGAGCTTTTCAGAGTAAGGTCAGTCACTATAAAAAGTTTACCCACAACCGTTTTTGAGATATCATTGATGGCCTAGTGATTTCAACGAGATTCTCACACACGTCTGCCAGAAATTGCGAATTCGACTCTCTGTCAGCAGTGTGGTATTGAAACCTCTTCAAAAAAATCATGTCGCAGATAGCTTACGGGTTTCTGTCATGATAAAAGGTTTATCCACAATAGTTTTTTGAAGATTTTTCCCGGAAAATTATTCTATTGAAATTAAGATAATTCCAAAAGATAGAGTCGTATACTCCCTCTTTTCTCTCACCTAACTTAACCGAAAGTTGTTCCTTCGTAAGCTCTGGTGGCTCTCTATCGTCGGAGGCATCTTTTGTGTCTCATTTCTCTCCTTTGCTTCTCGTCTGTTTCAACTCTCTTGCCCATATGTTTTTGGCACTGACGTCGATGCAACGGTGATACAGAAGGTCTATTCCCATGGCGTTTCCGACGGTTTTCCGTGGAGCTTGGTGTCAAGATGAGATTAGGTGAAACTGTTTCGTTGAGGAATCGGCTCTTGGGTGGTGATAATTTGTAGATCTAGGTTTTCACATCTACTTTTTTATTCAGTGGTGTGAGCGTGTGACCATGCGTGGGCTTCTCTCCTCAGAGCTAGTAGCTTGGCAATTGCTCGGGGTCAGTGAGGAGAATTCTGGGGTCGTGGTGGTTTTTCTTGCTCAGTGTCGAGTAGATATTTGGGCTAGAAGCCAAAAAAAAATTTGTAAAAACTGAGAGAGAAGGACTTGAACCCGTGTCCTTATGAAGCCAACTATAGTGTAATCACCAAATTATCTGGAGAAAGTTTTGTTAAAATGCGGCTGGATTGTTACTTATTATTTCACGACAGGAAGCATGTGCTTCACCCGCTTCCGTTAAGGGCCGGCTCTGCTAGTCAAGTTGGGCTTTGGATGGCATACAGCAGACGCAACCGCGCAGGTGAAGGTTGTTCTGTAACAGTCGTAGCTTCCACGTGTTTTGTGTGCCACTTCTGATACAAGATTAGTGGCGAGCCGTCTATCACCTGTTCCCCTGGTCTAATTCAACAGCAGCTTCAACTCTTCCTCCTTGGCCGTTGCCACTTCTGATTTTGTCCGCTTTGTTGTTCGCTGGTAGTTCTTCTCCCTCTCCGTCTCGTCGAGTTTTGGTTCGTTCTCCCCCATTGGTGTAGCTACGGCGTGGCTTTCTAGAGCTAGCTCCAGTTCTCGGTTCTTAGGGAGAATTTGTGGTCTCATCTCTCCGTTGGGTCATTGGAGATGTGGTACACTAGGGAGTCTCATTTTGTAGCTTGGTCTTCTCAGCATTGGTGTCAGGCTTCTTGGTTCACAATGGTGAGCTGAGCTACAGTCTAGTTTGCATGTTTTGAAGAACATCGTTAGGATGTGGCTCTTACCACACCCTCTTTCTTGCTATGGCTCACATTTGCTTCCGAAATCAAGCTAAATAAGTGTGGTTTCCTGTGATCTTAAGACTAGCCAGATGGTGTTCTATGGTTCTTGGAGAGTGTTGATATTTAAAGCTCTTGGAGCTCTGGTTTTCCAACTGTCGTGGTGGTTCATGAGTACCAAACTCATATGACTAGGCTCGACAAAGCTGCACAGGTTCGATACCAATCAATTGAAGTAGTGCTCGGGCAAGCCAATTTCTACCAAGACATGGTCTCATGGTTTATCAAAGGTATTCTCCCCTGTGGCAATGAGGTCAACTTCTGCTCTATTGTCTCTAGTTTTCTATGTGTTCAAATATTCGTTTAAGTGACAGTGGGTTATGAGAGTTGTCTTTTCTTTCCATCTTTAGTGTTGCTTAGTTTTTTCAATGCAAGTATCCATTATAACTTCTGTTACAAGAGAAAATTTGGTATAGAACTTAACATTTACACCAAAAAAATGATCTTCTTAGCAAAATTTTCTGAAACTTTGAATCTTTATATCAGTTTGTAGTTTTCAAATATATAAACAAAGATCCGCCAAATATTTGGCCTTTTTTGTTCTGTTTAGTATTTCCTCCTCTTTTATATACAAACATGATGCAAGTGAAAGAAACTACGTCACCTTAATATTATTTTTGTCAAAACGAAATTGCACAAGACTTAGAGGTACAAAAACCCATAATCAAAAACCTTACTTGTGTGAAAACCAATCTCTTGAGTATTTGCATTTCAGTGAATTATTTGAAAATTTGAGTTCCACAAGACATGTATTGGATTGTTTGTTGTTTCAATAAAATAAACCCACATAAGAACGTTGACCTTGTTCATCTATGGGAGTATTTCTTCGTCACTATTAAATACCTCAAACTCCCAATCAATTGCTTGAATGTGGTTGGATTGACATCTTCTCCAGCTCCTTCCTTTCACAGCTTCTGACTAGGGACCATTGGATTCTTCACAAAATTACTTTCCTCCATACCAAACTTCTTCAAAATGCATGCTGCATACTTTTGTTGGTTGATAACTATGCCACTTTGGTCTTGAATCACCTCAACTCCCAAGAAGAATCTTATCTGGCCAAGATCAGTCATTACAAACTCTTTCATCATCAATTTTTTTGAAGCCCTCAAACAATGCAACAGAACTCCCACTATAAATAATATCGTCAACGTACACGCTTACTACTAGGATATCCTCTTCTTTTTTTTCTTCACAAATATAGTGTGTTCACAGTAGCACTTCTCAAAACCTTCTCTCTAAAAATATCCTTCAGTGCGGTTGTACCAGGTTATTGGGCCATGCTTTAAACCGTATAGTTATCTTCTCTAATTTGTACACCGTGTGTGGTTCCTCTTGAGCTTCAAACCCCTCCGATTGATCAACAAAAACATCTTCACTGAGCTCACCGTTCAAGAAGGCACTCTTCACGTGTAACTGAAACACTCTCCAAACTCTTTGCACAACTAATGCTAGAATGGTTCTGATAATACCCATCTAGCCAGAAGATCAAAAACTTCATAAAAATTGATCCCACACCTCTGATGATAACACTTGACCACCAAATCTCGCTTTGAACTTTTCTACTAGCCCTATTTCATTAAAATTTGTTTTGAAAATCCATTTCACACCGGTTACCTTAGCTCCTCCTGACAGTTTCACTAGCTCCCATGTATCATCATCTAACTCTTCTCCTAGATTCCGCATGTCTTTCAACACGAGCATGACTCTTGAGAAGTATTATCATATGGCTTTTCCCTCCTTCATCTCCAGGATATCAAAGTTGTGTCTCACTCTTTGAAGTTGAGCGCTCTGCACTTTCTTGTTTCCTTGGTACTTCCTCTTCATAGAATCCCAAAGATCCTTAGCCGTCTCCTTCTTCAAGATAATCTTGAGAATCATCTTGTCAATGGATGCATACAAATAGTTTTTCACCTTCAGATCTTACAGTGTTAATTCAGCCAACTCTCTCATTTGTGCCCATGTCAGAATCACGCTCCGCGCTCTCTGATCTCGTGATCCATGTCTCATATGAGATCCCACCACTCTTTGGACTTGAGCATATTATCCATCAACATTTCCCAGTACTCATAGTCTCAATCGGAATGCTCAGCAGTGGATCTCTCTCTCTCTCATCATTACTCTCAAGCACCATGCTCGTAAATAGCTATAATACCACTTGTTGTTTCTGTAACTTTTGGAACGATAATACTGAGGAGTGTTTGTTTAATTCAATGAAGAACAACGATCTTAAATAGATCTTTACATGAAACAAATGACTGAGAAACTAACTCCTAGAAAGGCTCTAAAAAACTGACTTGATCAGCTCAACTTATTAACTCCGAAATACAAGAAACAAACTAAGACTCGTTCAAATGACTTATCCGTAGATTTGATTCTTCAAATAGATTCATTTTTTAAAAATTTATTCTCTCTTGAGGAAGAAAAAAATTCTTGAAAAAATTCACCGCTATATGTTAGAGGTGAGCGTTCCGTTCTTGTCTAGAGAATTGAAATGAAGATAGACGAGGACAAGTGAGAAGAAATACAGAGCAAATGCCAAGAAACATATCCAAAATGGATAAGTTGATCTAACATAGGCTGGTACGCCTATTATGAGGCCAACGATCACAATAATGAGAACTTCAGTAGAGTAGTCCCAAGTCAATCCTCTCGTGTACACAATCGCCAATATAAGCGAAATTCCCAGAAGATTGTTCATCGTAACATCCTTGTATATCTACAAAAACAAATCACATGACGGATCTGTTTATAACATCCCGATTTCTAGTATACAGGCGGTACACATTTAATAGTTAATAATAAATGGAGTTTCAATAAAACTAACCTCAGAGAATGTATCTGATGTGACTCTAGCCTTGTCTTTCTTGCGACAGAAGTGAGCAGACAAAGCGTTTTTTAGGTTTCTTGCCAAAGGGATCACCACAAAGACAACATAGAAGGAAGGAACTCCAGCTGATTCAGACAAAAGCTCAATGTTCATCATGAAAGGCGTTGCTAGAAAAAGGACAATTAGAATTCCTATAATAACTTCAATGGAAGCTCTCATGGTTCTCTGCGATAGCAACTTGGCAACAAGACTTTCCTTTGGCTGTTCCATCTTCAAAACGCTATCCTCCTGAAATTAACATCTTTTCCATTTTCTTAAATCTGATAAAGTAGGTTAAACATGAATTAACAGTGATGTACTTACAGCTCGGTTATCTCTTTGACTCTCGGTGCTATCGAAACTAAACTTGTACTGTTTCAGCCACTTTGAGATTCCTTTTTCAAATTCAACTTCATCTATCTCACCATCCCTATCGCTATCAAACTCAGCAAGCAATGTTGTAGCAAGCTCATGTATGTCACATTTCATTCTTCCTAACATCCCAAACTCCACAGTGAGATCTTTAAGCTCTGACACTTGGATCTTTCCATCTTTGTTTACGTCTATTTTCTCAAACAATCTGCATGAGTAACCAGTAAATTTCCATCTCAAGACCGATTAACAAATAGTGGAAGGTGCTTGAGATTGGAATAATACCTTTGTAAGCTCTCTTTACTTAGTTGTCCATTTTTTATAAAGCTTTGAGGTGAAAAAATCTGCAAATGCTTATGTACTTCTGACATGAGCTCAAACTTTGCATGGTGTAAGCTCTTCTCTTGATCTGCTCTATCAAAATACTGCGGAAAAATCATGTTAGAATTGGATCAGAAGAACCATTTATCATACATATGGACTGATGAGTTTTGCTTTTATGTTTAGGGTATACCGAATAAAGAAAGTAGACAACAGTTGCAGAACCAGAGATTATTAGGGTGATCAAAACTATACGATCTTTCCAAGATTTTGAATCAAATATCTCTGATAGTGTGACCATGACGAAAGGCAATAAAGTCAGGAGCATAATCCCTGCAGCTTTCTTGTTCTTAGGATCTGCTTTTACGCTAGCTTCTGCATAGAAAACAGAAAAAAAATAGGAGATTCATAAGAAAAATCTGATTACATAGATTTTCAGCCAAAACTATATAGTCACATTTTTCAGCCAAACTATAAAAAAATTTTCTCACCCAAAACTGATTAATCGGATTTCCTGTCAAATCATTAAAACTGAAATTTCCAAACAATATTAAAGTATAATAGTTATTTTATTATATATATCATGTTTTAATTAATAGTAATTAAAGTCTATTAACACTAAAAAAAGCATATAAATGTTAGGTCTGGAACTTATTATTCACTATCCGGATCCAATTCAAGATCCGCTCTGGATTCACTTCATATCCACTACGAAAATAGGATTTGGGATGTCCGGATCCAGATGTAGATAGTAAAATCTCGGATCAATTAAAATCGGAATCAGATCCGAATATCTTGATTTTTAGGTTCGGATATTCAGATCTGTCTTTTAAAAATATGTTAATTTTTTAGTTTTACTAATAAGTATATTTGATATACTAATATTTGTACATAAAATTAGTCTTATTATAATATATTTTAATTTTAATAATATTATATATTAATATATTAAAATTTGTATACATATTTAATTTATTTATTACTTTTCTAATTTTAGTATTTTTTAAAGTTATTTTTACCGATCCAGATCCAAATATCCGCAGATAGTATAATATCTAAACGGATATCAAAATTTGAATATCCAAAACCCACGAATAGGGATCCGGAGATACCAACGTTTCTGTCCGGATCTATCCTACCCTTAATAAATGTTGTATCTAGATGCATATACAAACTGTACAAACAAACACATGTAGATATAATTTGGATATCCATAATATGCTTCATGTAGATGCAAAAACAAACATGGCCTAAAACATACCAGCAACAATCTTCATTATGTGTTGTCGTCTTGGAATCTTTCTGTCCTGTATTGAATGTCTTAAATGTCATATCATGAATCAATAGGCTCAAAGAAGAACCAGAAGAAGATCTTACAGAAGTGATTCGCTGAACTACCCCTTTTCTTATGGACTGGTCTGATCCCCAACCAGACAAACCAAAGACAACACAAGCTCCCCACTGCATAGTCAAAGCAAAGACAGTGTATGCGACAGTGACTCCAACGTTATTATCCACCATCGAGTTTGCAATCTCACGGCTTCCCGTTAGTCCGCTCGCTGAAATAAACCCAACAAATGGCTTAATCTTACATCATAGTCAAGAAAATAATTATAAAAGAAGAGAAGGACTTCTTCTTACAGAGAATAAGAGCTATTCTTGTGAACATTGTAAGGAGAGGGAACACAATTCCGCCATAAAAACCGACCTCGAAGATGACAAAGAGCTTAGTCCTTCCTTCAGACAAAAAGTTTTCACCGATGAGCAATAAACAACCGAAGGAGAAAACTTGGAAGACGTATCCTCCAACATTGTCTGCACATGGAAGAAACCCGTAGACATGAACGCAAGCATTCTTGGAAACGCGATTTGGAGGATCCAGAGTAAGAACATCATAGCTGGATCCTTCTTGAGCTCCATCCGAGACCAAGATGGATTTCTCGTCAGAAAAAGAACTTAAAACACGACAGTTTACGGAAGAGATAAAAGCTATTATTATAGAGAGAAAAGACAGAAACAGAAAAACACGTGCCATGGAAGTAAACTTGAAACAGAATTTTTGGTGAGCAGTTTGGTCGGATCCTTCTCTGCATACGCGCATATATATACACGCACAAACATATATATACGCGCATAAAGTATTTTTTTTTACCGAAAACTATCTCGAGTCTTTTTACATAATGGATATAAAAAGACACAGGTTTGATTAAATATATTAGATGAATCGGGTAAAAATCAAAATAAGTAAATATATTAGAGTGAATTAGTTAAATATCCTAAAACAAGTGAAAAATTAGCAAAATACCCATATAAGCAATTGTTTATGTTGAACAATATAAAAGAAGAAGAAAAACTACATTCCAGCCCTTGTGTTACTGAGGAAACTATTTAGGGTACGATGCTAATATGATTTTAAAGATATTTGGTAGATTTGGTAAAATTTAATTCAGATTTTTTTCCCTTCACAATAACGTGAAGCAGTAAAAGTAGCAGAGAATTAATAAATCAAAGGCTGAGGAAGTCTATCACATTTGGCTGAATTTAATGGCAAATCAGAGCAAACAATTTTTATATAGATACAAAATATTGTGTATTGAGGAGAGAGACTGGGAGCTTAATTCGTTGGTAGAGAGCAACAAGGAGGGTAGATGTTGAAGCTTTGAGCATATGAAAAAGGCTTAGTATTCCTAGTGTGAAATATTTTTTCCTTTTTGAAGTGTATGCATGCGGTTGTAGCCTTTTTAGTTAGTTACAGAAATGTTTATCTTGTTACAGAAGAGTCTAACAAGGTATCAAATTATTTTGGTTTGTCAAATTCTCTTGTAACCATTAATGTAATATATAATCTTCAATATATTATGTAATCACCTTGTCAAATTTGTCGGTGTCAGAAAAGTTTAGCTCGTTTTGGGTTTTTTTGTGACTAAAAATTGTTCTAACCATATGCTAGAATTTGACCCGCACTAAAGTGTGGATATTTTCTCATTTTATAAATGTATAATTTGATATTATAGTAAAACTTTAAAATATATGATTTACATTTTTCTAATATATATTATGTAACTCTGTAATTTAATTTAGAAATTTTCTATTTGATATTATTAATATGTAATGATTTGTTTTATATATAATTTACATTTTCGATTAATTGTTATTGCATATTTGAACAAAAAAGAAATTTTATTAAGATGCTATAAAATCTTGATTTCTGAAAATATCATAGATTAAAATCATAAATTTGTAATATAGATATTATAGAAATATAAATTAATTATGGGCATATATTTTTTAATCAATTTACTGATATAAATATTTTTAATGCTATGGTATTAACATATATATGTTAAAAATCTTATATATATATATATATATTTAGATATAAAAAGTTTAATATATGTTAAAATTATTTTTTATATAAAAATATATATAGTTTATGAATTCAATCTGCTTTAATGGGACATGATATTTTATTTATTTATTTAAATGAAAACGTTTTTAAAAAAAAAAAAGGCTAATATATCAATTTAATATAATTATAAAGTTTAAAATGGTACAAAATATTTATTTCGTTTTATATTAAAATTTTTAATTAATACTAATTTATAACACTCTCAAAATACTAATTAGGAAAAGAATTAACGAAATATTTTATGATATCATATTTAAAATTTTCAGTAAGATTTTGTTAGATTTTTCTCAACAGATTTTGTTGTAAGAAGAAAATTTATCTGTATAAATTGATTATTAATATCTTTATGAAGATTTTCAGAAATGTTATATATATGATTGATTACTGAAAATAATTAATTATATCCTATCAAATAATTATTCTAGTGGTTTTACTATGACTTCTCTATGGTAGATAAAAAATAAACCCTAATTTAATATATTAGACTAGATTTCGACCCGCACAACCGTGCGGGTATTTTAATACGGAAATATTTGAAATTATATAATAAATTTATCAATAAATAAGTATAATTTGATTCTTTATGCTATCCAATTTCATAATCATTTTTATGTGACTTATAATATTATTAATATAAAATTTATAAATTTTTATTTTTGTAATAATTTTTTAAAATATTATTATTAAGATTACTAATTTATATATTTTCTTATTTTTAAATTTGAAATCTATGTAAAAATTAATTAAGTTGGACCTACATAATACATAAACAAAATTTTGGGATATTGTTAAAAGTATTTTACGTAATTTTAATTTTTTGTTTATAAATTAAAAATGAATTAAAATTTTAATTATATTTTATGATAATTAAAATTTTAATTAAATAATTTTTGAAACTATATCTTGAAAAAGATTCTAAAAGATTTTTAAAAGATTTTGTTAGAATTTTTTTAAAACTATTTATTTGTATTTCAAACAAAAATTAAAGATATGAAAAGATATTATAATGTTATTTAAAATTTTATAAAATTCTAAAGATGGTCCAAACTAAAATATCACACATGAAGTGAGTCATGACTTCTCGTTTAATATAATAGATTTACAATTTTAAGGATGTACAGTTTTTTTCTAAACACGGTTAAATGTGAGTTTAGCGAAGTGTTAGATTATTTTAGTTTGTCACACCCTCTTTTAACCGTTAATGTAATATATAACCTTCAGTAAATAATGTAACCATTCTTATAACTTCAGCTACATCATCCTCCAACGCTTTCAGAATTTTTCTGATTGCATAAGGTTTGTGATAAAGGTGGTGACTCTGATATTTACTGGTTCTTCATCAAATCGAACACCCTCTTAGGGATAGAGAGACATGGGGTTGCTTCTGAGTCTGACTCCATGAATCAACTAAAAGATACTCAAAAGAAGAAGTGGAAAATTAGAGAGAAGACAGATTTCAGATTTGCAGGTGAAATGGAAATTTGAAATTTGAAATAATATTAGGAGAAGCAGCTTGTCTGACAGGTTGACACGTGAAAGATTGGGTTATCTGACCAAATCTTCAACAAAAACTTACGATATAGGCAACAGAGGTGAATAGTGTATTTGGGTATACAACTAGTTAGTCATAAGTTCACGCAGGGGTGGAACGGATCTGGCTATCCAAAAATTTGAAGTATCCGGATTTGTCGGATCCGGATCTGGATTCGTCGGATCCGGATCTGGATTCGTCGGATCCGTGATTTTAGTATCCGGATTTGGATTCGTGTCTTCCGGATATTCGGACTTCGGATATCCGTATAGATATTGTGATATCCGCGGGTATCCAGATTCGAATCCGTAAAAATAATTAAAAAAATTTTAAAAAATCAAAAATTCTAAAAATAATACATAAACTAAATATTTAAACATAATTTATGAATATATATGACATATAATATTATTAAATATAAAAGTAGAATATTATTAAACTTATCTTATGTATAAATATTAATATATCAGATATAGTTAATAATAAAATAAAATATTTAATATATTTTTTAAAATATGGATTCGAATCCGGATATCCGGACCTAAAAATTAAGATATCCGGATCCGGATCCGGTTTGCACGGATCTGAAACTTTACTATCCGGATTTGGATCCGAACACTCCCAGATACCCTATTTGGGAGAGGGTCCGGAGCGGATCTCGAATCGAATCCGGATCCCGGATAAAAATCTCAGTCCTAAGTTCATGTGTTGAGGATCCAATTACTCGCTATATTAACCATACAGTGGTAGCATGGTTGTAGGGAATCAAATGGTGGTAGCCTATTGTTGATCCTTTGAGATTACACACATCAGTAATGAGTTTGATTCCTTATATGAACTAAATTATCACTATTTGGTTAATTTGGGGTTGGTCTTCGACCCAAATGATTATCATGGTGAGTTGTAACAGATGTTTGGTCCACCCTTGACATTAGTCAGAAAGTATGTCAAATTCGGATTAGACAAATATGGTATGCTTTCGTGGTAGTGCAATCTATAGTACTAAGTACGTTTTTCTCAAACTCATCAACAAAATCAATCGATAGGATATATAGAAAAAATGGTGTGTTCTTAGTCTAATTCTGCCGCAAACTAAGTTATTGTTGTTTAGTTATATGAAAATACAGCTATGTTTTAAATCTCGTTAAAAACCTTGGGACCGAACTACTCGTTGATGTTGATCAGTTAGGCTTAGATGACTAGATCATGATATCCCGGTTAACAGAATAGTATATTCTCTCCGTTTTAAAGAAATTTATTCGTTTCAAAATAAGTGTTGTTTTATAGTTTCAATGCAGAATTTATTAATTTTATTTATTTTCTATTTTTCTATTGGTTAAAATATGGTAGGTGTATAAGTAATTGTGATTTTATTTTGAAAGTATATAAAATTAAATAATTTCTTAATTTGTGTGTACAAACTTAAAATGATAAATAAAAGGAAATGAATGGAGTATTAAAACTTGACTTAATCAGTTCTCGAGTCTTATTTATAAGAAACGTGAACCGCATCTCCCTAACTATTATTAGCTGATGACTATAATAATGTAGATTTGATTTTGCTCATAATACTATTGACTTTTATATTCTATTGCTTTTGGATCTGGCGTAAGGCACGTGCTGACAGTGCATTTGCACTAGGTCAGCCATCTTTTTATAATTTTGTTTAAGTAAATGCTAGAGTCTAACATGCGGTTAAACGCGGGTATTTTATTTTTAAATTTGAAAAAATAGATTTTTTTAAAAAAATTTATGTTTATCTTTTTTTATCAATTTGTTTATACAAAATTGTGAGATTTGGTATTTGTACAATGTTTACATGTGATTAAAGTGGGTTGGTTAATATTTTATATTTAGTCATTATATTTATATACTAATCATCTTTTATTTTTGGATTTAAATTATTAGCACATATCTATTACTATAAAGTATAGTTTTCTCTTTCTTGGAAGAGCCACGTGTTCATCTCTTGCTACTCTGCGTTTCATTAATAGAAGGCGACCATGTTGTTGGGCTTCGATTCGTTTGGGCTTCACTTATGCTCAGTTAACCCAACAAGTAAGAGAGTTATCTTAGCATGTCGACACCCGCCGCA